TTGGCAGCAGCACACACATCTCGCAGGATTTTCTCTGCGCTGAGGAAAGAAAAGTCTTTGCTGCGAAGAAGCTCTCTAGCAAGGTACTCTGAAGAAACCTGACTGTCAGCACTCTCAAGACAATCGAAGAACTCTTCAGAAGTATTTGGTAGTGTAGCTTGCGGTCCTGCGGCCTCCACACCGTTCTGTACACAGGACTCATAATCTTCAACAAGACAGGAGCTACTCAAGGCTTCATGGAAAATGTCTCTTTGATGGGGATCAAAAAGCTCTACACGCCGTACTTGTCCTTGAGACTGGCCAACCTGGTGCTCAGAGCGGCAAACTCGGCCTTCACCTCCTCGGGTATGTCCTGCTCCATCTTGGTCTGGCCCGCCTCCTTGTCGCTGGCCCTCTTCAGCGAGTCGATCTTGGGGGGGACATATCCCTTCCCGCGGTTCGTCTTGCCCAGGGAACGTTTCTCTGGAGACTCGTTCGCTGCCGGCGGGACCATGGACCACGTCCCGGTCGATGACATCGCTGCCGACGGGGCCACTGAGACTAAGTCGTTCGGGTCCGGGCTGTAGGGGATGGCCGCATTCTCCTCCGGGTCGTAGTGCTGCATCTTGTGGCTCTTCTCCATGCGGCGCTCCGCGTAGTTCGCCAGCTGGCGAAGTTCCTCGCTTGACCCGCTCCTCTTGGCCTGGACTCCTTTGACACTCCACAGGAGATAGCTTTCGGGGATCTCTTTGAACATGAGCCCCCGATGCCGTCCGAACGTGCAAACCTGCTCCGACAAGTCCGCTGTTGTATCTCTTGTCAGCCGCATCATATGGCCTTTTGTGGCCGCCGGCGGAACAGGGATCTTCAACTCGTCCATCTTCTTTTCCAGATCGGCCTTGGTCATGCTTGCCAACCCCTTGGGGATCTGGGAGGTCCCCGTGATCTCCTTGCGCTTCTCCAGCACCAGGGTGCGGATCTCGTCCCGGCTCCAGGACGTGTGCACCGTGATGTTCAGGGCCCGGGCTGCTTCGATCAGCTCGTTCTTTGTCATCTGCCAAGGGGGTCGGGGCTTTGAGGCCATCGCTTGGTCTGGTTCTTCCAAAGACAGTACGTCCTACCCAAAGTGCTTCGTGAGCGGTATCTCGAGCCTGCTGCCAGAGGTCATGCCTTCTTTCAATGCCGAGCAAGGTGTGGCAGGAAACACTTTCTGTAGTGCGAACTTCCCCAACATGCTCAAGGAGGAGGTCCCGAACATCAAGCTGAG